AAGGTACGAGGAGTACCATGCATGCCATGCGCACATACACACATAGGACATCCGACATGGCTTGCACGAGTGAGTTACTTACATGACACATGTGTAGTGAGTATGTATGTGCACATAGATACTCGTCTCTCGTATAGGTTGTTGATGATTATCTCTGACGAGTGCGTGCAAAGAGGTTCCTCGGTCACGTGTATATGTACAAGGGCATTCACACTAGCTGATCCGTCTGCTCATAGGTGCCGGTTACACACTGTTGACGGTTGACCAGGACTGTATAGTGGTTAATTATCCATCGCCGAAGGAGCTCATGGAAGACCTGAAGATCATGGGAGAGAGCAATGCTTCGGTTTGTTTCATATTGTGAGGTGTGGTGTGCTGATGTGATGTCGTGTATATGATCGTGGGAGAGAGCAATGCTTCGGTGTGTTTCATATTGTGAGGTGTGGTGTGCTGATGTAATGTCGTGTATATGATCATAGGAGTGAGCAATGCTTCGGTGTGTTTCATATTGTTAGGTGTGGTGTGCTGATGTGATATCGTGTGTGCATCTCATCCGCATACAGTTGTTGCTCTGCGTAGCATGTGCATTCGTAGCGTGCTGTTTGTGTTGTGGAGTTGTCGTTGGTGTTTGTATCGTGTATTTGTAGGCAGGTTTATGGTTTACTTATTTTGCACGGCTGTCTGGTGCGTTCGTATGATACCTTTATATTGTATTGGGATTACAGCTATGTCTTGTACTGTGTAGACATGGTCTGTTGTATGTGGGCTGCATGTATTGTTTCGTCACCTAGCCATGCGCACTACATCATGTGCATCTGTCACTATATCTTGGCGCAGATATTTGTCATTCAATAATTCAGGTCTGTCGCCTGTGCATGCCATTGGGCAAGTGACATATATATATATATATATATATATATATATATATATAATAGTAATAGTAATAGTAATATAAGTTACGTAAGTAATATATATATATATATATATATATATATATATATATATATATATATATAGTAGTAGTAGT